ATTATTACATTTTTACGACATTTGAGAAAGTAAATATCAGTAATAAGTACCAAGCTTTAAAATTATTAAATTGGAATGATTCTTTGCAAGGGCTTGCAGTTCCTGAAATAATTGCAATTCTATGAATAACCCACTGCAAAAATGTATACAAAAACAATTGTTTAAATAAAGTAGTCACTTACAGTGGCAGAGTCTGGATTCCTGCAGGTTGCGAACAAGGTTGATGGAGGGTTAGCATGAGCAAGGAGCTGCTTTACCATCTCTAGTCCTATCCCACGGTTTGAGCCAGTGATAAAGACGGATGACATGTTGGTCTGGGATGGATTCGCTTTGCCCAATTGAATAGAACAGAAGCACACACAAAGAAATGTAAGAACAGAACGATTATTCACCTCCATTCCTGGAGATAGGCGAGTTCACGTCCGGGAGAAAGATTCTACCTGTAAATAAATTATCAAAACTGTCAAATCTGTCCAATAACATACTGTCATTGCAATGTAAACAACACAAAACTGCAACGGCACGCGGCAGTTGCGTGGAAAGTAAAGTATCGGTACCTGTTAGTTGCAAGCTGACTCTTCGACCTTCTGGACCTAAATAACTGGACCGTTCTCGCCTTCGGGATGACCGGGACTGGGCGGCTCTAGCGGGAGTGGCAGGGCAAGCAGCAAGGAAGGAGGGGCAAACAGATTACGTAGCAGTGTCAACAGTCGGCTCCCATCCCCGCAATCCCCCCGCCCCGCGCAGGGCAGACGACGCAGCGAGAAAGAGGCGGAGCCTTATTTCCGGCAAGAATCGGCGGTAATTTTAAACGGCTCGCCGCTGCATTTGAACATGCGATGATTACAAGTTTTGTGATATGGACAACTTTCAGCGTTCAGGGGAGAAGAACATAGGAAGATCGGCTAGAAGACCGTTATACAACAACTCTTCTGTCTGATTTGCCGGTATGATTTACGGCCGGACCGCTACACGGTGGGTGGGCCGTTGCGAGCCGCGCCAGCCGCTCTGGACAGCCAGCCAGATATTTACACATTCAGCGAGTGCCGCGCGAGATGAAAGGCCGTTGGTCGTATGTAAGTATCTCCACGGTGGGAGTGATCCGCTGGGCTGGGGTGACTCGCGAGCTCCCCCACAGACAGTCCCCTTGACCAGTCCACAAAGCTCCCCTCTTCGTTTATGGTGAAGGGGTGTAACTAAATATGCAACAGTGTTGCGGGATTGCATACTCAAAATGGTCGCAGTGGCCATGGTCCCTTACAAGTGTAAAGAGTAGGCAAACCCGCAACATTGCTGCAGTGACACTCTGTACGTAGGTAGGCCTATATTAGTCCCAGCCAAAGGTATGGCTTTTCAAAGCATGAGGCAGCATAGGAGATTACTGGCGAGAGAAAAAGGCAGACGTTTGGCTGGGACGACTAGTACAAGAAGCTGCAAAACAATCCAGGAAGCCCAGCCCACCCCCTCGAGCGCGGTGGGGTGGCAGCATAACCATGGTGGCAGACGCCGGCCTGGCCCAAACGTGGCCGGCCATCCGCCACCCCCAAGCCCTAAGCCCCAAGCCCCCGGCGCCCGAGCACCGAGTGTGCAAGAGGAAAGAGAGGTGCACCTCATGCGAAGGGGGCACTTCGCCTTGTGGTAGACGACTGGTAGATACAGCTTTAGGGGCTGGCTGACAACCATGGGGGAGGAGTCATTACGTCAGGCGACTAAGATCTTCGCGAAACACGCGCGTGCGCCTTGCCTCGCGTGCGATGCACGCGTGCCTTTCACACAGCGGCGCTTGGCCGGTGACGTTACGGCTACCCGAAGCCACCTAAGAACGCTTAATGTTTGATCATGATCATTTGGTGGGGGTTTTAGTGCGGTATCTAACTGGTAGCAACTACCAGGTGGCTGATTCACGCCGCGCACTTGTGTACTATGCAACCGCCCGCACGGCTCCATCCGGGACTGCATACCAACCAGGTGCAGGAGACCGGTTCCAAGCGCCAAACGCATCGCTCCACCACTGTTGCTGCAGCCAACGCCAAGGGGCGTACAAAGGGGTTGTTCGCTGTTTGGAGCGGGTCCCCAACTCTCGGGTCCGCGGGGATGACTCACGGGTCCGGGGGGGTGACTCACTGGTCCGCGGGGGTAGCTCGCGGTCCGCGGGTCCTGCCAAGGAGGTAGCTCGCGTCCGCGGATCCTGTTACGGGGGTAGCTCGCGGTCCGCTAGTCACCCCGTGGATCCGCGAGCTAACACCGCGGACCCGCAAGTTACCCCCACGGACTCGCGGATTACCCCCGCGGCTCGCGGGAACCCGCGCGAAACTGCGAACAACCCCTATGTAACGCCCCTGCCCCTGGGCGTTGGTTGCAACATTAGTGGTAGCTACGCGTTGGCGCTTGGAGTCGGTCCCCTGCGCCTGGTGGGTATGCAGTCCCGGATGGAGCCGTGCGGGTGGGTTGCATAACCAAAGGTGCGCGGCGTGAATCAGCCACGTGGTAGCGTTTCTTCGATTTTGAGAATCGTACGGGGATTCGTCTGGCTTCAGCATTTAAAGAAAATATGGCTGTGTGCGAACTGCATCAACAGCACTGATGGTGGAGAGAGAGAACCGGGTGCGTGACGCGTGATGCCATCCCGTCACGGCAGCCGGCGCCTCCAGGCGCCTCCATGCCCAGGAGCGGGGGCCGCCCGGCTCCTCCGCTCCTCAATGACAGTGCCACACTCGCTCCCGTCCGCGCAGGACCTACAAGATGCTGCAGCTCATCAGGGGACTCTTGGTAAGTCCATTTCTGTGACATGACATGCCATCTTGTGGTTCCCACTTTGCCATGAACTGGAAACGATGGTCAGAGAAGGTAGACTTCCCGAGGCTGCAACTATATTGCTTTGAATTAAGTGTTAGGTTTGAAGTAGAACGACGAGCAGCGCCACCATCCCTTTCCTTGTCTGGTGACGGGAGCAGACACTCTCTCCCCGATATGCAGGCAGGCTGTCCCAAGCACCACCTCTTAAGTCTGGTGCTTGTACTGTGCCGCGCCGCCTGCAGGCGTGTGTGCGCGCTTGCCCACCGTGCGAGTAGGCAACCCTCCTACAAGCGTGAATGCGGTACAGTACCGACTGTAAAGGCAATACACCACAGTGTTCCGGGTTTGCCGACCCGAGCTGTCCGTAAGGCGCCATGTCCCCTTGGGTATGCAAACCCGCAACACAGGGGAGTATGAGCCTTTTACACTCGGTATAAGCAACTGGAGTTCGGGGACTACGGGACGCGACAACCCTACACGTGCAAAATGTAACGGCGCCATGGCACCTTGACTGCAGGTCGCGGTGGCTGTCGTACTGCCGGCGGCCTCCCCGGCGGCCAGGACGCCGTTGACGTACTTCCACTTCCACAACATCAGCAGCGCGGGGGACTTCGAGGCCGGGCACGTCCGGGGCAACCCCTGGCACTGGGTCAGCCGCATCGAGCGGCAGCGCGGCGGCGCCAACAGCGGCCAGGTAGGAGGAAGTATTCTCTTGTCGGGCCGCGGCCTGGTTGCAGGGCCTGCAGGGCGGGCGCGCGGCGGGCGCACCCCGTGACAGAGTGTGACATCACGTGCTAAAAAGCGTGAAGAGTGTGTTCCGTCCTCGTAACCCCTCGCGGGCCCCCGGGCCGCCCAGTGTGCGTGGGGCGCGCGGCGCTCAGGGTTCAATGTGATGGGCGCGGTGTATTAATTGTCGCGCGGTCGTCATCTCCAATAGGGGGAGGAGGGGTATCCGTGATGCGGGCGGAAGCCAACAAAGGAGGCAGGGCGCGGCCGGGGACAACAAAACAATCATAACTTTTGTCCGGGGCCTGGCTGCGCCCCATGCGCCTGCACTGGAAACGCAAGTTAACGCAAGCGTGTGAATGTGGCACTCTCGTAGGTCGTAGGCCTAGGTGTGCGAATGTGGTGGCACACTCGTAGGTGTGTGAATGTGGAACACGCTTGTAGGTGTGTGAATGTGGCACTCTCGTAGGTGTGTGAATGTGGCACTCTCGTAGGTGTGTGAATGTGTCACTCTCGTAGGTGTGTGAATGGAGCACACTTGCAGGTGTATGCATGTCGCAAACTTGTGGGTGTGAGAATGCCCATTCCTTACACTACTTGGGGGGATTAAAGGTGTGAAGTTTGCTTTGAAATTCACACACTTGTGCCCCCATGTGTGTACAAATGGTGATCACACACCTACAAGAGTGCGTCATTCACACACTTTTAGGTTTTTGCTGTGCCAGTGTTGAGGAAGTCGCGCCAGATCATTTCGTCACTATACCATTCAGTACTATCGGAGAAAATTCATTTTTGCAAGATCCCCTTGGGCCTTTTCGAAAAGGGAGGAGGCGGAACGTGGTGTGCGTCTGCCGAAGGGCAGAGCTTCTCTGATGGGACCTCGCTATATGATCTTCTCCAGAGCCGGACGAGCGTCTGAGCGCGCCGACAACAGATTGGCAAGCAAACACCTCAAATGAATGGGTGGATTCATAAATGTGAAAGTGAATCTTGCTGTCGCTGACATGTTTTTCCGTCTAGTAATTCTAAACAGTCCTTTCTTGCCGGCTCTCCCCTAGAGTTCACATCACCCCGATTTTCGATTTTCCATTCTACATCATGTCTTATTTTAATTCCTGTAGTTCAGTGTCCGGTCCCGAATGTCGGTTCATGTTTTCTTAAAAATACATCACGGCCGTTCGTTATGATAAACTATTACGTTCAGAAGAAATATACAGTCATCTGCCCATATTTCGGACACGAGCCCTAATTTCGGACAAAATTGAGTCTTTGGCTTTAGGCGACCGTAAATCCGATAGTTTTTCACCAATTTCAACTTCCGGGACGTCAAATGAAAGGTGAAAAAGTCCTCTTTAACATACGACTGGTGCGGTCCCAATCCGACTTCTCCCCATCGAACGGCACGCTCTTGAAGTTCAAAAACCGCCTTTGAAATATGTGTGACAAAAATCTTTGTTCAACTTCACCTAGTCAGCACGGAGGTGCCGTGAAAGATAGGAGTCTAGTTTTTGGATATGGTATACTAGCACTATTTCTGAGCCTACTCCATTTTTCGGATTGGTGATGCGGACCGTCGTTTGGTTTCTGTGGACAAAATACGAAAAGGCCCCAATTTCTGACACTTTTGAATCGGCCTTCCGTTCCTTCATAAGGTACCAATCAAAGTTCTATCCATAGGTAAACACATCATTTGACGACCCATAGGGCCAAAATTTCGTCGGTTTCCCTCTATCTCTTATAGTTTTTGAGATATAGCATAATTTTAAGTCTTTCTAAAACTTTTGCGTTTTTTAAAGAATTTTAGATGCAAGCATTGTTGAAAACGCCTCTTAAGACCCTATTTCTGAACCAAAAATGTCGTACGAGGGCTTGTTTTCATCGGAAGGACCCGCCCTACCCGCCTGTATCTCTAAAACTGTTTTCCGAGCCAGTACATGAGCGGCAAACGGTTTTGTCCGAAATTAGGAACAGTTTGTCCGAAATTAAGGACCTTCTGTTCCTAATTTCGGACAGAACATTTCGGGCTCTTGCAGACAAACAAATTCAGGTATAAAACTTTGCACAACGGGAAAAGGTAGGGCC